GAGAGCAAGAGGGGGGAGAAAGGATAGAGAGAGAGCAAGAGGGGTGAGAGAGGAGAGAGAGAGAGCAGGAGGGGGGGGGGCATGCCTGCACCTGTGATTATTCCTGCTATCTTCCTGATCTAGGAGCAGGTATGATTCAGATTTTAATCATAGGCCATGCTGTAAGAAAGGACACAAGGCACACTGGGCCGTCATTACAGGTTAGCTGACGTTACTGCTAGTGATGTCCCGATGATGGATTATAATCAAAAGTCAGTCATTTGCAGCAACCGACTAAGCGCTCGATTATAAAAATAAATAGTCGATTATCATTAAAATAATGTTTTTTTACTTTACAACTTGGGAGACAGTAAATCTAACCTACACCAATCATAAACAAGTATAATGCTGTTACATAGCTTTTAGAATATTGTATTATAAAAAATACTGTATTTTGTGATATATGATATATTTCAATATCTGGTAGCCGTGATCAATAACATTCAACCGATTATCTTCGATCATCGATCGGTTGGGTGCAACCGATGATCGATGATAAAATTCCAACATATTCCCATCACTAGTTATTGATTCTACAGTAAGTGTCATTCATCATTACCTGTATGTCTGTCTGTCGCTGTGGCTGCTAAACCCATGATTCTCACTCTACACACGCATGTTCAGCCTTATATGAAGTGTCTTGTACATAGGGCATTACACGCACGCACGCATACACACATATGCGCACGCACACGCACACACACACACACATACGTGCACGCAAGCATGCACACGCACACACATATGCGCACGCACGCGCACACCCACCTGCATGGATGCATGCACACACACTTAGTATACACTTATGGGCACGCGCAAAGGTGTGAACGTACGCACGAGGTTTTTAGGTATGCTCACGCACGTCGCATCGCCGGTTTACTTACAGGTGTCCTGATTATCGTAAGTCGGAGCGACCTGGTGATGCATCACTTCAGACGCGACCAATCGCAGCAGTGTCTCTACCATCGTCACATGCCCGTGAGAAAGGACTGCCGATGCCCTCCCATATGTCCGCGCCAAATCCACGATGCTGTGTTCGTCTATGCAAGGGAAGGCAAGAGCAGGTGTGTACAATATCATGTTCACGTCTATAATGTGCAGTCGGTGGTTTCACTAAGAGAAAAAATTGGCGGAGAAAAAGCAAGTCGTAGATGAGTATAATAACTGGAACATAGCTTTTATAGGCCTATGTTTTGGATGTCAAAGTAGCCAGTGTCCAGTGCTTAAAATAGATGGTCAATTTTTGGCGGTAGCCGCAGCTTCGAGTGAAAACCTTGACTGGGTTGATATTGCCGATAACTAAAAATTTTATTCACAAATAGAAATTTCCCTTCGAAGTTTCTCGGTCTTTTTCTTTTGAGATGGTTTCTTTGAAGACGAGTTTTTGCTGTTAGGTTTTGCAGTGTGTAATGACCTCACGTCTCCTGTGTGTGATAGACCCAGATCAGTAGAAAGAGAGAGAGCGAGAAAGTGAGAGCGAGAGTGAGCAAGAGAGAGAGAGTAAGATAGAAAGTATTACCGGTATCTATATTATATATTAGTTATATATTCGTTACATTATTTATTATATTAGTTATTATATTATGGTTATCTATATTATTACTATATTATCTACACAATCCATGCAGACAGTGTAACACCATAGATAGTGTTTGGGACACTATAGAACTATATAAGTCGATCCAAGTAAAAAAGTTCAAGTAAAATTTATTTTCATCGGTATACACACCGCCATCTCGCGACATACTGCCAAAGTATCTGTGAGATATTTGCGCAATAAAATTTAGTTGAATTTGAATTTGAATTTGACAGACAGTATTCACAATTGCGTACGTGTGAACGCTCCGACTCAAACCGGCCCGAGCCAAATTTAGCCCATTTTTTTATTTGGCTCGAGCCAAACCATGACAGTGTGAACGCGGCTTAAAGGGACAGTAGCCTCTAGGATTTTACTGCATACAACTGTACTTACTGTATAACAAATCGTCTATATACCCACACGTATTTGTTACCAAATACCTAATTTAATTGTTATAATTATTTATACATCAACGTTACGAAATTTGAATGGCGCCATGACACCCGCGACCGTGCTGCCACCCCGAAAAAGTTGAGTATTTGACAATTAATTTTGCAGGTTACAGACCGAGGGCTAATCACAAAAGTGCAATTGTATTTATACTTAAATGCTATTTAACTGAACGATATTCATTTTTGGACAAATTTAGCGATCCATATTATAACTGAAATTATATGTCGTTTATAAGATATTACAATCCTTTTGCTTTTAAATGAATAAATGAGAAACACCCTCGGTCTGTAGCCCTCGGCTGGAAAGTGGTTTTGCGCAACTTATCAGATCGTACGCTTTGAGTGGCGCCACCGTCGTTGTAATCAAACAGTAGTCGTTAGTTTTAAAACATTTTTTAATAATATTTATAATGGTGATTAAACCATGAAACTTTTTATGTAGCGTAATTATAACCTAAATTAGCTGAAAATAACCCTAGAACCTAGATTAAACTTTTCCTTTAACAGTACCACAAACTCTGGTATGTGAGACAAAATGTCGATATACTACACTATTCAACCTAATAACCTCATAAGGATTTTGTTATAAAGATCAGTGAGCACCAGCCACTGCGTTTTCTCATAGATATAATATAATACAGATATAGAATATAGATACAGATCGATAGAATATCTGTATTCAATATGATTTTCTCAGACTTCTGCTGTGCGGCTGTGCCCGAGCACAGCGACCGACCTGCCACCTCCCAACAGTCCCATGTTGCACTGCGCACAGTAGCGTATTAGATATGGACGTATGATGACACAGCATGGTGTGAGGTCCATGTGTTATGCCGAGTGTTGATGTACGAGTAATGAGTAGGGGGTTGGAGACTGGAGAGTAAAACCAGAAAACACGAGCTCTAAAGTGACATCTGCTAATTTATTAGTAAAATATTACTATAAAAAAATTATTTTAATCATTGGTAGTGTAAAAACAGTTGACTATACTTTCCTTACTCGTTATTTCATTCCATTACAAACTACTGTAACTTCCACAATAGTTCTCACTATGAAACCTACTTCCTTCCATTAGGTTTTTTTCCACGCATCTTTTAACAATTATATTATCTGTGATTGTCCATTCAGGATCATTCAGTTTAAACGTGTCTAGTTCTTTTCATCAGTCCCAGCCTATATTTATTAATTAGGAAATAATGGGCTATTGGCACAAATTAATAAACGCGTCGCAGTGACGGTCGCCTCCCGATGAAGATTTGTGTGGGGTGCTAACGTAGAGGCTAGACTGACTTCTCCGTGGAGAGGTAGGGGGCGCCACACCAGCAGGCGAGCGGTCGGTCCGTCGGTCAGTCCGGTTGTCTGTCTGTGCCCCTGTCTGCCTGTCTGTCTGTCTCGATTGGGCGGTTACAGCACTGCTCACGGCGACTTTGCTGCGTGGTGACTGTAGAACACAAAGGGGTGCAGCCTCCCTCCCCACCAGTGTGATTGCCAGCAGCTGGTGCGGCGCGCGTGTGCGTGTCGGTGACGATGACCTTTTCCCTTTTTTGTATCCCTTACTGCGAAATACAATTGCTAGAATGTACGTGTACATCATGTAATGTATCAGCGTAACGTGACGAAGGCAGGGAGAGTCACTATTGTATAACTACACGTACGGGCGCATATTACGTGGTTTTTTTTTTTACTAGTACGGCTCAATATGATAAGTATATACAGTTTATGTGAAACAAATCTCTACAAGACTTTTACACTTCACTTAAAAATATATATGATACGCAAGACTGATATAGGGCCGTTATGTCTGTACGCTTTGTATGCACAAGATAGTACAGGTTCGCCTGCGGTTAGATATGTGCGCTACGCACCTTGGGCAATAAGTTGCGAACAATAAGAGTGTACATTATAACTATAAATTTACCGGAGTATAATATCCTTCATTTAATAATAGCAAACACTACAGATTACAAGCATATGTACTAGTATTACTAGTATTATCAAGGAATATCTAGCAGTGATCATAACATAATACCACAACCGGGTAACAAACCAAGCAAGTTTACAAACAACGCATATCTTACGACTGGCAAGTAGATTTCGCCAGCTGGAGCCTTCAACGACTCGTGAACGAATATAGAACATTTCTTGTGTGGACAATCAGGGACACGTAAACACACGTACTACAAGGCTCGCTGTGGCATAACATATACTTAAAAAAAAAACTTATTTAAAACTCACCTGCCAGTATGATCGTTGGCTCGATCACTCATTCTGGAAATGTGCGGATGATCAGGTTGTCCCGTTTCACATCTAAATCGCACCTGCAAAAACGGTATAATAATTAATCATATATATGAAATGAATAAAAACAGTACGGAATTAATATTTACGGCAGTCATACGAGCGGAAAATGGAAACTACAAAGCAAAGTCGTAGCTTTCACATGTTTAGTTCTAGTACTATAGACCGCCTGCAGCAACTGTACGCGGGCTATAGTACTAGAGCTATCACATGTTCACTTTCACGGTCACGTTCATCTCTAGTTTGTATCACTCTCGAACCTATGACCGGTACTAGCATGCAGATGCAGACAAACGTATCACCTAGGCTCGCCGTGGCGTTAGGCAACTCTTATTTAAAACTTACCTGCCATCGACGTTGGCTAGCGCACGCTCCAGAACTCGCCATCACCGCATTGATGGCGAGACAACGCAGTGGCGGCAGCCATGACGGCTGCTCAGTCCTGCCGAGAAAAGGCATTTCACGACGTTACGACAAGTCCCCGTTTTAATCTCTCTCTACAGCCGATACCTCGCCTCGTTGTATCTCTCCATCATAACACAGAACCGCACGGCAATTTATCATTTATCAGATTTCATCTATCAGATTTTTTCTCCACGGAAAAGACTGTCTTCGGCACATGTATTTGAATTACACGCAATAAAGATTTAATAATAATTATTTAACAAAGGTTTGCATTGACTATGTCCCATATTGTCCTCACTTTCCACACATCGAAATCTACTGACTCACTCACTCTTTTGATGATTTTTCAATCACAGTAGGTTTCCCTATACGAAATCTTTCTCGTAGTTGCACGATATGACGGACTGGAACTGCCCTGGTGGCCTAACTTAAACACGTTTCTGAGCATTCTAAATAATGTCAACGTTTCATACCATTTTAATCACCGCACACGTAAGAATGCAAAAAAGATACTGTACCTGTCATCAGACAAGCCGCTGCTATATCCAATTTTAATCGCTCGCATTTTTCCTAACGCTGGGTTTTCAACCGAGCTGGCAGATAAAAATGCATAGTTCCTGGTGCACACAACCCAGGTCAAGCTGCTCGGTGCACCGATTTAACATACGTCAAAAAGATGCGGCACTTGCACGCAGCGTCTCATCGCAATGCAAAGAGAATCACATTTTAGCGTTATTCGACTATGCCCTCGAATCAACAAATGAAGATTTACCGATGCTGCTGGTGGTGTTCGCTCAACATTATCAAGATGACACGGTGGGTGACATTACAAGCTGTCCAGTGACACAATAATGACATGCAGCTATATCACGCAAACAGGCACTGCTCGTGACAGTGTTACCACTCACGGTAAGCGTCTGCAAGTATCAAAGCTCTGTCCAGACACCAAAGCAAAACAGCCTTTCCAATAGCTTCAACAGATAGAGATAGTATACAATCCCGGAGAAAAAATGCAACTTTTCAGTAGCTTCAACTCTAAGAGATAGTATACAATCGCAGAGAAAAAATGCAAACCTACACTCGGCCTACTGGAATGTATCCCAATATTTATTTCCTACTCAATAACACTTAAAACGTGATCATCGTCATCTAAGCATCGCGTATTAATATAAACACAAACGCAAATACGTATTAAAACCACACAGACACGCACAAACGCGCGTAGGGGCACAATTAAATCTTCGATATTACACAGATGTTAGATGAACACTGAGACGTACAGAAGCTCATAATTAAAACATCTACACGAGTCTTACAAGAGATATATGTGAGATGGAGGAAGTTATACAAAACACTCAGAAGTAATACTGCTGCTAGTGTCAGCACGTATCATGGTGGACAACTATGTTCAATAATCATAATCAAAACGCGTGCGCACGAGAATGACGTGTCAACACCATTAGACAACTATCAAACACTGCTTGACCTTTGTTTGTTCGTCCTAAACTGAACTTCATCGAGTTCGATGACGTTGAGAAATAAATTCCACTCATTTGTGGTTGTCAAAACCGCAGCTCTGATGACAATATATATATACACTCGATCCTCATCTGATTTTGCTGATTATCACATCTAAACTTTCACGCCCTAAACTTTAACTGCAAATGTTCTTTTCAAAAGTCATACACCTCTCTCATGTCATTACAAGGCGTCCTAGATACTTTCTTACACAGTACATATATTCAAATTTATTTTTAACACCAATATGACTGAACAAATAAGATATAACTGGGGATAACTGAACGTACTATCCATAAGATATTCAACTGTGCAACTAAATAGAAGAGCATTCACTTTTAAATACTACCGTCCTTTCTTCACCAGCTACCTTGACAAGTGACATTCTTGTTTACACGACAAGTCACAATTCCGTACTACGCGTTTTTCGCTACTACGACGTATTCACACGGACACGCTGACTTCCTGGGCGAGTTACCATGGTTACGAGATGCTGCTTATCTGAGAGCTTCACGATGAGAGCTACCGCTAGGCAGACTAAACTTCATCAACCGTCTCCCGTCTAAAACAACGAGAGAGAGACGGCAAGAGTCGGGGCTGTCAAATCCTAAACAACAAAGAAACTCAGTTACATACTGATGCGGCACCGCTAGACTTATTACATCATTTCTTATTACCTTCACACCGAAACAACAGCGAAACCTTCATCCTCTTTCTTCCTCGCAAACTCTGACCTTATTCAACGACCTGTTTTAGAGTAAAATACGTTTGCGACCGCGAAACCCGCTCGCAGGGATGCACATGGTGAGTGTACAGCCGAAAAACCTTTCGATCGCATTCGTTCATCTCGCGCACGGCTTTACTAGCGACGCCGCCGTCACGTGCCGCTAGCGTTATTCCACCTATCGCGCTGTTAGTGACCGCATGACGTTTACGCAGGAGGCGACTCGCCAGGGAAAAAAATATAATTTATTTTTCGGGGGCTACTTTTCAAGCTCGCGTGCATGAAAATAGCACTCTAAAATTTGGTTTGCATTGAACTCTATGCAAATTTACGGGGGCTCTTTTTGGCATTTCGGGGGCTAAATCGCCCCCAGCCCCCGTGTATTTTTTTCACTGCGACTCGCGTCTTGACACGGACCGCAGAAGGACGAGCGAGTAACGAGTAGGGAAGCTAACGACGTAAGCTACGTGTCGCGCAAGGGTGGAGTAATTAGCTTACCGATAGTTAAGGCTTGCGGGAGCTGACAGATGAAACTGCTCTTCAGCGGGGGTATCCACCTTTGCCTCTTATTCTGCCTCCCCGTCCGCCACCAACTAACAAAACACAGCAGTAGACACGAGGATAGCACGGCACTTATGACATCTGCACGTTCAGGTCTATGTGTATGTCTGTGTCTGCGAGTGTGTGCATGTGTATGTATACGTTACATCTATGTCTGTGTCTATGTATAAGTACATGTCTATGTCTGTGTCTATGTATAAGTATATGTCTATGTC